AAAAATGTTAAAATGTAACATGTAAATATGTAAAATGTAAAAATGTAGACGACGACGACGACGACGACGACGACGACGACGACGACGACGACGACGACGACGACGACGACGACGACGACGACGACGACGACGACGACGACGACGACGACGACGACGACGACGACGACGACGACGACGACGACGACGACGACGACGACGACGACGACGACGACGACGACGACGACGACGACGACGACGACGACGACGACGACGACGACGACGACGACGACGACGACGACGACGACGACGACGACGACGACGACGACGACGACGACGACGACGACGACGACGACGACGACGACGACGACGACGACGACGACGACGACGACGACGACGACGACGACGACGACGACGACGACGACGACGACGACATTGAAAACGTTATGAGTACTGGTATGAGTAAAAGTTTTTATGTCAGCTTGGTGGTTGAGTGATTATAGTACTGCTTTACTCGCCTTGTAATTAGAAGGTAGCTGGTTTGATTCTATGTTATTGTATTACCTGTCACTAGTTTGGTATTACTAATTTAATTAATCTTTGTCACAGGTGTACGAGGCTGCTGGGCTGGCGGCCAATGCTGACAGTTTTATCCGACAGTTCCCTGATGGCTACAGTACCATTCTGGGGGAGAGAGGAGTTACCGTGTCTGGGGGCCAGAAACAGAGGATAGCTATCGCCCGCGCTCTACTGAAAATCCCATCCATCCTCATACTAGACGAGGCTACCAGGTCAGTTGCAAGGGAATGACTTGATCGTAAAACATGTTAAAATGTAACATGTAAAAATGTAACATGTGGAAATATAAGAAGTTAAAATGTAACATGTTAAAATGTAACGTGTTAAAATGTAACGTGTTAAAATGTAACATATTAAAATGTAACATGTAAAAATGTAACATGTAAAATTGTAACGTTTTAAAATGTAACATGCTTAAAGGTAACTTGTTAAAATGTAACATATTAAAAACGTTATGAGTACTGGTATGAGTAAAAGTTTTTTATGTCAGCTTGGTGGTTGAGTGATTATAGTACTGCTGTATTCAGAAGGTAGCTAGTTTGATTCTATGTTACTTTGTTTGTATTACCCGTCACTAGTTTGGTATTACTAATTTAATTAATCTTTGTCACAGGTGTACGAGGCTGCTGGGCTGGCCAATGCTGACAGTTTTATCCGACAGTTCCCTGATGGCTACAGTACCATTCTGGGGGAGAGAGGAGTTACCGTGTCTGGGGGCCAGAAACAGAGGATAGCTATCGCCCGCGCTCTACTGAAAATCCCATCCATCCTCATACTAGACGAGGCTACCAGGTCAGTTGCAAGGGAAAGACTTGATCATAAAAAATGTTAAAATGTAACATGTAAATATGTAAAATGTAAAAATGTAGACGACGACGACGACGACGACGACGACGACGACGACGACGACGACGACGACGACGACGACGACGACGACGACGACGACGACGACGACGACGACGACGACGACGACGACGACGACGACGACGACGACGACGACGACGACGACGACGACGACGACGACGACGACGACGACGACGACGACGACGACGACGACGACGACGACGACGACGACGACGACGACGACGACGACGACGACGACGACGACGACGACGACGACGACGACGACGACGACGACGACGACGACGACGACGACGACGACGACGACGACGACGACGACGACGACGACGACGACGACGACGACGACGACGACGACGACGACGACGACGACGACGACGACGACATTGAAAACGTTATGAGTACTGGTATGAGTAAAAGTTTTTATGTCAGCTTGGTGGTTGAGTGATTATAGTACTGCTTTACTCGCCTTGTAATTAGAAGGTAGCTGGTTTGATTCTATGTTACTTTGTTTGTATTACCTGTCACTAGTTTGGTATTACTAATTTAATTAATCTTTGTCACAGGTGTACGAGGCTGCTGGGCTGGCCAATGCTGACAGTTTTATCCGACAGTTCCCTGATGGCTACAGTACCATTCTGGGGGAGAGAGGAGTTACCGTGTCTGGGGGCCAGAAACAGAGGATAGCTATCGCCCGCGCTCTACTGAAAATCCCATCCATCCTCATACTAGACGAGGCTACCAGGTCAGTTGCAAGGGAATGACTTGATCGTAAAACATGTTAAAATGTAACATGTAAAAATGTAACATGTGGAAATATAAGAAGTTAAAATGTAACATGTTAAAATGTAACGTGTTAAAATGTAACGTGTTAAAATGTAACATATTAAAATGTAACATGTAAAAATGTAACATGTAAAATTGTAACGTTTTAAAATGTAACATGCTTAAAGGTAACTTGTTAAAATGTAACATATTAAAAACGTTATGAGTACTGGTATGAGTAAAAGTTTTTTATGTCAGCTTGGTGGTTGAGTGATTATAGTACTGCTGTATTCAGAAGGTAGCTAGTTTGATTCTATGTTACTTTGTTTGTATTACCCGTCACTAGTTTGGTATTACTAATTTAATTAATCTTTGTCACAGGTGTACGAGGCTGCTGGGCTGGCCAATGCTGACAGTTTTATCCGACAGTTCCCTGATGGCTACAGTACCATTCTGGGGGAGAGAGGAGTTACCGTGTCTGGGGGCCAGAAACAGAGGATAGCTATCGCCCGCGCTCTACTGAAAATCCCATCCATCCTCATACTAGACGAGGCTACCAGGTCAGTTGCAAGGGAAAGACTTGATCATAAAAAATGTTAAAATGTAACATGTAAATATGTAAAATGTAAAAATGTAGACGACGACGACGACGACGACGACGACGACGACGACGACGACGACGACGACGACGACGACGACGACGACGACGACGACGACGACGACGACGACGACGACGACGACGACGACGACGACGACGACGACGACGACGACGACGACGACGACGACGACGACGACGACGACGACGACGACGACGACGACGACGACGACGACGACGACGACGACGACGACGACGACGACGACGACGACGACGACGACGACGACGACATTGAAAACGTTATGAGTACTGGTATGAGTAAAAGTTTTTATGTCAGCTTGGTGGTTGAGTGATTATAGTACTGCTTTACTCGCCTTGTAATTAGAAGGTAGCTGGTTTGATTCTATGTTACTTTGTTTGTATTACCTGTCACTAGTTTGGTATTACTAATTTAATTAATCTTTGTCACAGGTGTACGAGGCTGCTGGGCTGGCCAATGCTGACAGTTTTATCCGACAGTTCCCTGATGGCTACAGTACCATTCTGGGGGAGAGAGGAGTTACCGTGTCTGGGGGCCAGAAACAGAGGATAGCTATCGCCCGCGCTCTACTGAAAATCCCATCCATCCTCATACTAGACGAGGCTACCAGGTCAGTTGCAAGGGAATGACTTGATCGTAAAACATGTTAAAATGTAACATGTAAAAATGTAACATGTGGAAATATAAGAAGTTAAAATGTAACATGTTAAAATGTAACGTGTTAAAATGTAACGTGTTAAAATGTAGTCATTCGATGAAGTAGACATGGTGTTAATTTTTGTTTATAAGATATTTCAATTGCTAGATTAACCTAGAAGTCAACTTTGTATCCTCGAACATGAGGTGCAGGGCTACCGCCAGAACAGAGCCAAATAACACGTAATTTCACGACCAAAGTTTCACGACCATCGCGGGTTTTTTCACGACCAATCCAGCCTTATGGATTATAGTGTGTTTGGTCGTGACAATAACTTTAATATAATTGTAAATTGAACAGTTTAGTTAAATTGAAACACATATTTTTATTATAACTAATAGGATAATTGAAGGATTGTTTAGAAAGATTTAGATTATTCCAGACAATTCACGACCGTACCGCTTGTCCCTGACCATCACGTTTATGATTTCTATCATAAAAATTTCAAAAATTAAAATATTGTCATATTTCAATGTTTTATACACAAAAGAAGCACACCTCTATACAAACATAACAATTTTTTGGGTCTCAGGTAAGTTTTTTCGGAGTTATACAAACTTAAAAAGATTTTATTGGCTTTTTTTCAATTTTTTAAGTTTTTTTATTTTTTTCTAGAAAGACCAAATATACCAAAAGCTCAGTGACCTTTTTATTGTATAATGGTCATAAAAGTAAATTAGTTTATAGCAAAACATAGTTATAAAAATAATATTAACTATTTTAAATATTCATTTAAACGTCCGTTATGGTCGTGACAGGATTTTGTGTTTTTCCACTAAAGATGCTCTTTTAAAAAGAAACTACCAAAGATATTGCGTTACCATGGACATTTTATGAAACATCAAATGTTAATAAAATAAAAAAAATAATAAAAGTTTTGAAAAAAGGAGGAAAAAATTTGCAAAGTGCTTTTCCTGAAAACGTACGTTTTTAAATTTTCACTCAGTTACCGTGTCTGGGGGCCAGAAACAGAGGATAGCTATCGCCCGCGCTCTACTGAAAATCCCATCCATCCTCATACTAGACGAGGCTACCAGGTCAGTTGCAAGGGAATGACTTGATCGTAAAACATGTTAAAATGTAACATGTAAAAATGTAACATGTGGAAATATAAGAAGTTAAAATGTAACATGTTAAAATGTAACGTGTTAAAATGTAACATTTTAAAATGTAACATGCTTAAATGTAACGTGTTAAAATGTAACATATTAAAATGTAACATGTAAAAATGTAACATGTAAAATTGTAACCTTTTAAAATGTAACATGCTTAAAGGTAACTTGTTAAAATGTAACATATTAAAAACGTTATGAGTACTGGTATGAGTAAAAGTTTTTTATGTCAGCTTGGTGGTTGAGTGATTATAGTACTGCTGTATTCAGAAGGTAGCTAGTTTGATTCTATGTTACTTTGTTTGTATTACCCGTCACTAGTTTGGTATTACTAATTTAATTAATCTTTGTCACAGGTGTACGAGGCTGCTGGGCTGGCCAATGCTGACAGTTTTATCCGACAGTTCCCTGATGGCTACAGTACCATTCTGGGGGAGAGAGGAGTTACCGTGTCTGGGGGCCAGAAACAGAGGATAGCTATCGCCCGCGCTCTACTGAAAATCCCATCCATCCTCATACTAGACGAGGCTACCAGGTCAGTTGCAAGGGAAAGACTTGATCATAAAAAATGTTAAAATGTAACATGTAAATATGTAAAATGTAAAAATGTAGATGTGTCTACAGATTGAGTGGTAAGTAAATGGTTAGGGGAACTTTAACCTAATTTCCACCATTTTTATTTTCTTTTAACATGTGTCCACTTTAAGGTTACATTTACCTCTAGTAATTTCAGCAATAAAAAGTTTGGGAATTGATAAGGAACATAATTTTATTATCCGTCGAAGGTTGTCTGTACGCTAAGCGCCAATTCGTTAGCTGGACTTCTAGCTCAAAATAACTAACATTTTATTTATATATTTTTAAAATTTTTTATGCATTCAAGTATTTCCCCCATTTAAATCGTTAATATGTGCTGGAAAACGCTACATTATGTGTTATATTGTTAAAAAAAGGTTTTAAAATTTTTAATAAATTTGAGGTCTATTTCCGTTTTATTAGACTGTACACAGAATGGGTGGTGGGGGTATGGAATTCTCCGCCCGCCGTTAGCTGGCGATAGCTGTCTTCACGATCGTTGGCGTAGGGCAAGGCTAGGTTCCGCTATCGATAGACAGGCCTACACTATAGTACCCCTATTAGGTTATTATATTGGGTCTCTCACTCTTTGGCAGTTTCCTGTTAAAGGGAACATTCATTATTATCGATGATTTCTTTTCGATATAAGCTTATCAATATTTTTGTTTTACTTCATGATTCATAACTTATTCCTTCTGTTATCTTCAAACACATTTAAATTATCTACTAATTTAGAAGTAGGACGAACCTTGTTTAGGCAAACATTAAATAGCCTATTTTATTGGATTATAAAATCAAACTAAGCTAATCTAACCTAAGTTATAACATAACTAACCAAACTTGCTGTATAGGCTATGTTACCGTTTCAAAATTCCGTTTAATAACAGAAAAGGAATGGAGAATGGCTGTTTAACGGACAGAAAAATAAAATTTTGATATTCAAAAAGAAATTATCTACATATACTGTAATAAATGTTCCCTTTAACAGGAAAGTACCCATTCTTTACATTATACCATAGACAAAAAGAATTAAATATAGACCGTCAGCTGTGCTGCGGTTACCATAGGTTCTGGCGCACACCGCTTGAGCACCACGGTAGTTACGGCGTACGCGCTACGTAAACTACAGCGGTGTGCGCCGGAACCTATGGTAACCATGGCAACCGCAGCACGGCTGGTAGTCTGTATATAATTCTTTTTGTCTATGATTATACTTGCTACTCATACACACATATAGTCTCTAACTTAATAAGAATGCTGTAACCTTTTGAAAGAGGCATTTTCTCGCGCTGTTGTAATAGTCAGAATATTAAAACATCGTTTGTTTAATTTAAATAGCGGTTTGTTTGAAGTTATTTAGAGTAACATGACCATGAGAAACATGCTATTTGAAACTCCAACGACAGGAAAATATATGTTAAGTTTTATAAACGATTAAATTGTAGGCTATTAATTTGTAGCGGCCAAAAACTGTTGTCCCGTTACCTACTTTTAGGAATAAACAATCTGTCCTCTACTTAGTGATGTAAAAATCATTATACAGGTTGTTATGGTCATCTTACTAATTATAATATTATTATTAAGATCAAAATAACTAGGCCTACAATTTATTCTTTAGTTGGGGTAATTTTGATGAAACAAATAACAATACATTTACAGTCTTCATTTTATGCTAGAATGTTTTACTATAAACAATGTAGGCTATTAAGAACTGCACTAAAGTCCTTTAGACAACCTGCAATATCAGTACCTTCAATACCTTTAATAACTTATATATTGGGTGAAATATCAGTTCGTTATACAAATAGTATTTTATATTATTCCCTGCGATATAAATTCCGATTTTTGTTTTGAGTATTAAAGTTACTGTATCGTGATATGAATATTTAAAGCCATAGATTCTTTTCAAATAGACTTTCACACTGTGCTGTGGTGGTTAAACAAGGTTAGTTCAGTTTGGTTTAGTTTATGTTAATAAAAACCAGATAACACCTAAATAAATAGCCTACAAATTGTTCCAATAGTATCATCATTGGGTTGGGTTAGTGTTGTACAGTTTTCTATCAAAACTGATTGTCAAAAGCGCCAAATTATACCTAGTCGTGTCATTTCATGAGTAACTTAGCTTATAGAAAAGGCAGAGGATACGCGTCCGGTAACCGGACGTGGATTAGACGTCCGGCAATTACTGTCATAACCTAACCTAACCAACCAAACTTGCTGATTATGAAAAAATCGAATTAAGGTTAAATTCTTTCTCCATAAAAAAATTATAAATGCCAAAAATTCTAATAAAAGATGTACAGTTAAGAATAAATGGTATTCAATGCAAAATCTTCGACAAAAAGTTAGAGTCACCAATGGGACTCGAACCCTGGACCTCTTGCATATCAGCCGAGCACGTTATCCACTACACCACGACCACCGATGGCTGGTCATGGTATTGTTGTAGTAAAGGCGTTCCAGGCTCCCGCAACCCCATGACGTCATTGCCGTACGCCTTATCCACGTCCGGTTACCGGACGCGTATCCTCTATGTATAGAAAAAAGCTAAACGTTTTGTTAATGATACCTTGTTTGTTTATAAACTATAGGCCTACCACTTTCAAAAGAACCTGCGCAGAACCATGGCTGTCTCGCGCATGTAGGGGTGAAGGGTGATGGTGGGGAAGGGCCTGGAGCAGTGGTGGGGATAAGTCGTTGGGGCGAGGTGTCTTTCCCCACCACTCTGACTCTCCTGCTGTCCTGCATGCTCGACTCATACAGGTGCGTGGTTTTTTCTATGTGGTAGGCCTATAAGCTAACATAACCTAAACGCCGCAATGGTCTGTAAAAGATTGGCGGGTGGTCCTCTTTTTAAAAAGACCATAGGCTAACAGATTAATAAGCAGGCCTATTTCTTAATCAATATATTTTATATAAATTTGAAGCTATTGTCAGTAGGCCTATTAATTTATAGAAACTGAAAATTTGATAGGATAGTATAATACATTAAAGTTTCTCTGCCGAACTTTACCCCATAACATTGCTGTTGCAGTGCAATGTAATTTTCAGAATCAGTCTTCTTCGCTTTGTATTTAGGCTAAGTAAAATTTATTTTCCTTGCTGCATATTAGGGAACATTATTACTATGTTTAATAGCCATGATAAGGTACAGTAGACTCCCTCTTATTTGGACACCTTTTAACCTGACATCGGTTAAACCAGACAACACTCGGTGGAAATTACATCTCTTAAGGCCTATTTTGCTTGGAGCGACTGTAGCGATAGTCGCACAGCGATTATCACTCAGCTACTATAGCTGACAAGGCGGCCGTTTTGCTTAGAGCGTTTGATTTTCGATCGCACAGCGATTTTTCATAGTTAGTTAAATATCAGCACTCACAATGGTGAAGTCATGAGTGTGAATTGTAATTCATTAAAGCGTCTCCTCGGTGAGGATTTAGGAGACGAGGCTCCACTCGACCCTAGTGGAAGTATCAATGGACGATCGATTGAAAATACATAGTGATACTTAGGATTAGGGACGGATACGTATCACTAGGACATAAATAGAAAACTGTAGTGATATCAATGAAAAAATATTATTTATATAAATAAAAAAAAATAGTGATATCAATAAGAGTACATGAATGTCGGAAAATAAAACCTGGAGTCTAAATAAAAATTGTAAAAAATATTCACAAAAACTGACACAGTATTAACGCCCACACTACGTAAATAACACATAACAACTTGGAACAGTCAAGCATTTTATATTTAATAAATTTGAATAGACGTAAATTATCTTAACAAATTTAAACAAGTCGCCTGTTTCTACTAAAATTTAATTTAGAAAATGAAATTAATGTGTAATGAAATATAACCAAAACAGTAGAATCGTAACAGCACATGAATAGAAAAATTAATGTGAACAATAAAGAAAATTATGGTTAATTTAACCCCTATTATGTGCCTACTGAGTGAATTGCACTGTTTTGAGGTTCTGCGCATCAGTCGCGGCGCGATTATCGCTCAGACTGGTCCCTGGGGCAGTGGTCCGCGACTGTAGCTAGCGACTCTTGCGATAGTCGCTCCAAGCAAAACAGGACAACGCAAACTCCGTCAGAGCAGTGCCCGGCTACTATCGCGGAGCGATTATCGCCACGCGTCTATCACTGCAATCGCTCCAAGCAAAATAGGCCTTTAACCGGGCAATTTTTATCAGCACATCGGTTTAACCGGACTAGGTCGGCAGGAAGTGGGAGGTAAGCGTTACTGAAACGACTGTTCTTGTGTTAAGGATATGAGAACAGTGATTATGCTCTACTACATTTTAGTCAAATACTGTATATACAGTATACATTTAAACGGTCAGTTTTAATGAGTTTGTGGACCGTCAGTTTAACGAGAAAACCCATTATCCGGACTGACCTCGGTCCCGAGAGTCTGGATAAGAGGGAGTCTATTGTAGGCTACTGTACATTTTACTATGTTATAGTGACACGAATAAAAAAATAAAAGCCAAAACTTCATGCAATAACCCCATAGTACCACATACAATATGTTTACTAGTGTGAACTACGCTGTAGGCTTCACATTGAATGTGTTGCCCATGTTTATTAAATTAACCTAAAACAGAGTTGTTTTGTTACAGAGTCATTGATTGAGGTGCTGGTGAACTGATTGAAGACTTAAAAATGTTTTGTCATTAGTGTGAGGTGTGATAGTACGGACTGTTGTGATAAATTACTACTGTTTATGATTTACTTTATATGTTTTAAAATAAATGTTCTACATAAACTATTAAAATTGAATGATCATTTACAATGCCACTATTTCCAGCTGTAATAATTTTTTTTATACTTCTTTTAATTATTTTTTACTTTGTTTCTAAACATAAGTTCTGATGTAGTCAATATTTGCATAATATGCACTTTCAAAAATATAAAATAGTAAACACAACAGCTTTTTATATACCATTGTTATTATTTATTGGCGTTTTTGTATTGCAATAAGAATAAGAATAAGAATAAGAAAGTTTATTGCCATTGACCAAGTTGTACATCGTTAAGTTGCATGCGTAGTTGCAGATGCATTGGTCTGTTTAAATGTATAAAGGAACTAAAATAAAATCTGAAAATTCCAGACTAACATAAAGATTGTTCAAACAAAGGAGGTTGAAGTATGTAAACAATTCCAAAAACTCTTAAGTTATTTTGAATTTGGTAAGTTTAATTTGATACCAAATATCGTTGACCTTATTTCCTATATTTTCTCTGGATGGTATTTCAATTTATTTTATAGTTGCAATGATTCTGCTCCACTCAAATTCCAGGGCATGGACTGCAATCAATATCTGCCAACATCAAATTCGAGAAAATCTAAAAATTTGTTAACTCACTTGTATATACCGTATAACATTTAAATACAACATGAAAAATAATAGGATTTCCTGGAATTTTTCTAAAATGTTTGAGATCATTCTCAACATCCCAGGCAATTTCCTTGAATATACTTGGATCATTCATAAAAAATATTCAAAGAAAATTTTTATATTGCCTAGAATTCTGAAGAACATTCTCAGAATATTCTGGAAAAGTACTCTGAAATATTCATGGTATCTGAACATATTAAGTTTAAATTATTAATTTTGTCAAATATCACAAAATAACTTGAAAAATACAAAAAACAATGTTTTTAGGGTAAAAAATGGGAAAACTCAATTTTTAGTCCATTCCCATAGTTAGTATTAAAGTACCGAATAGGTACTTAAAATGCAACGGATGATGGGGGTGACAGAGATGACTGACTCAAGTCGTCAATCGTCATGGAACGGAGGTAGCTAACAGCAGAACAGAACTGAAACTGAACTGAACTAGTAAGTTATGACTCCTGAGTCGACTCGTTGAAGACCAAATACAACTGAATTGATTCTTTCTGGCGCATGCGCAGTAGGCTAGTCCAATTCCTGCCCTGAAACGCTCGCGGAATTGAACCCGTCCCTCCCGCACCGAAGTCCGAGCTGAGATGCTAACGACTATAATAGGCTACAAACGAGCCCAGATTTTGTTTTATTAGTTTTATTTCTGATTTTTTAGATCCGGTTAAAATACATAATTTTTGCACGAGTCCCCTCGTTGACTATAAACTTACTTATGATCAATGCACCTCTGCAACCACCAAGCATGAAAAATGTACAATCTTGATTATGAGATCTAGATGGCCGATTGTTGACGAAATTGATTGTTTACAATTACAGCTTAACGAGTCTCTGCTAGCGAGCGGAATAAATCGATGAAAGGAGGTTATGGTACTCTCCGTACGTTCTTTTAGAAACAATGCATTTTCTCGATTTAACCAGTCTTTAATATCAAAACCACAGCGTTATTGCTTTTTTATTTTCTTGTGTTTAGTTCCAATAGTCTTTTTTGTGATATTTTTCTCCTCCACTAGCACTAGACCTAATATTGCTGAAGAGATGTCGGGCACACCTGGTATTCCAGACAAGTTGTGGCAACCAAAGTTTACTGTGTTAGATACTTCGTAAGTAGGCTATATTTTTGTAAGCTGATACTAAGTTAAGCTTAATTTAATTTGTTGGTTATTCAGAACCTTGAAATAAGTTTAGATCAGTTCAGTTTCTCTAGGCTACCCTAGTGGAAGTCATCAATAGAAATCAATAGAAAAAATCTATTGATATCACTAGATGCTTAGTGATATCAATAGATGTTCATGGATATCATTACAAGTAAATACAAACAAATAGACATCACTGAAAACTTAGTCAATACATATCACTAGACATCTATAAACATAAAATATATCAATATAGATCATTAGAGCAAACAAATTGTTCATTGATATCAATAGAGAATATTTTTTTAATATGTTAGATGTAAATATAAATCAATAGACATCAATACGGATAAATAAAATGCAAAATATCCCTAAAAAGTACCACATATGAACATTATGGATTATACAAAATACCAATGTAAACTTTGTGAAATAAACAGTAATAAAAGTGTTAATTTTTGAAAAAAGGAAAAACTCTGGTTCTAGGTCATAGGCGTTAGCTGAGGTACCTAAAACTCAATATAGGTAATTTAAAAATATATAGGCCTAATTTTAAAATTGTTGCAAAACAGTTACGGGACTCCCTATTTTGTTGACCCGGGTCAACAAATTCAATATATTAAGAAGAAAAAACACTTGGAATGTAGTTATTTACATGAAACTTGGAACGAAGGTATATAAACATGTTTTCTACTCGTATGTAAAATTTGGTAACGATAAAAAAATATTTATATATTTTATTAACTAAAAACCGCCCAAAATAGCTAATTTTATTTTGTTGACCCGGGTCTATCGCCAATAAAAGGTACTTAGCATTAGACTATATACATGAAACTTGGAACGAAGGTATATCCACATGTATTCTACACGTATGTTAAATTTGGTGACGATTAAAAAATATTTACCTACTTTATTAACAAAAAAATTCCGCAAAAAGCTAATTTTATTTTGTTGACCCGGGTCAATCACCAATAAAAGGTACTTAGAATTAAATTATATACATGAAACTTGGAACGAAGTTATATCCACATGTATTCTACACGTATGTAAAATTTGGTAACGATAAAAATTTATTTACCTATTTTATTAACTAAAAACCGCCCAAAATAGCTCATTTTATTTTGTTGACCCGGGTCAATCGCCTAAAAAAGGTACTTAGAATTAAACTATATACATGAAACTTGGAACGAAGGTATGTCCACATGTATTCTACACGTATGTAAAATTTGGTGATGATTAAAAAATATTTACCTACTTTATTAACAAAAAACTGCCGCAAAAAGCTAATTTTATTTTGTTGACCAGGGTCAATCACCAATAAAAGGTACTTAGAATTAAATTATATACACGAAACTTGGAACGAAGTTATATCCACATGTATTCTACACGTATGTTAAATTTGGTAACGATAAAAATTTATTTACCTATTTTATTAACTAAAAACCGCCCAAAATTGCTAATTTTATTTTGTTGACCCGGGTCAATCGCATAAAAAAGGTACTTAGAATTAAACTATATACATGAAACTTGGAACGAAGGTATATCCACATGTATTCTACACTTATGTAACATTTGGTAAGAATTAAAAAATAGTTACCTATTTTATTAACTAAAAACCACCCAAAATGGCTCATTTTATTTTGTTGACCCGGGTCAATCACCAATAAAAGGTACATAGAATTAAACTATATACATGAAACTTGGATCGAAGGTATATCTACATGTATTCTACACGTATGTGACATCCGGTAACGATAAAAATTATTAACCTATTTTATTAACTAAAAACCACCCAAAACTGCTATTTTTATTTTGTTGACCCGGGTCAATCGCCAATAAAAGGTACTTAGAATTAAACTATATACATGAAACTTGGATCGAAGGTATATCCACATGTATTCTACACGTATGTAACATTTGGTAACAATTAAAAAATAGTTACATATTTTATTAACTAAAAACCGCCCAAAATGGCTCATTTTATTTTGTTGGCCCTGGTCAATCACCAATAAAAGGTACTTAAAATTAAACTATATACATGAAACTTGGAACGAAGGTATATCCACATGTATTCTACACTTATGTAACATTTGGTAACAATTAAAAAATAGTTACCTATTTTATTAACTAAAAACCACCCAAAATGGCTCATTTTATTTTGTTGACCCGGGTCAATCACCAATAAAAGGTACATAGAATTAAACTATATACATGAAACTTGGATCGAAGGTATATCTACATGTATTCTACACGTATGTGACATCCGGTAACGATAAAAATTATTAACCTATTTTATTAACTATAATAAAATAGGTAACTATTTTTTAATTGTTACCAAATGTTACATACGTGTAGAATACATGTGGATATACCTTCGTTCCAAGTTTCATGTATATAGTCTAATGCTAAGTACCTTTTATTGGCGATTGACCCGGGTCAACAAAATAAAATTAGCAGTTTTGGGCGGTTTTTAGTTAATAAAATAGGTTAATAATTTTTATCGTTACCGGATGTCACATACGTGTAGAATACATGTAGATATACCTTCGATCCAAGTTTCATGTATATAGTTTAATTCTATGTACCTTTTATTGGTGATTGACCCGGGTCAACAAAATAAAATTAGCTTTTTGCGGCAGTTTTTTGTTAATAAAGTAGGTAAATATTTTTTAATCGTTACCAAATTTAACATACGTGTAGAATACATGTGGACATACCTTCGTTCCAAGTTTCATGTACATAGTTTAATTCTAAGTACCTTTTTTAGGCGATTGACCCGGGTCAACAAAATAAAATGAGCTATTTTGGGCGGTTTTTAGTTAATAAAATAGGTAACTATTTTTTAATTGTTACCAAATTTTACATACGTGTAGAATACATGTGGACATACCTTCGTTCCAAGTTTCATGTATATAGTTTAATTCTAAGTACCTTTTTTAGGCGATTGACCCGAGTCAACAAAATAAAATGAGCTATTTTGGGCGGTTTTTAGTTAATAAAATAGGTAAATGAATTTTTATCGTTACCGGATGTCACATACGTGTAGAATACATGTAGATATACCTTCGATCCAAGTTTCATGTATATAGTTTAATTCTATGTACCTTTTATTGGTGATTGACCCGGGTCAACAAAATAAAATTAGCTTTTTGCGGCAGTTTTTTGTTAATAAAGTAGGTAAATATTTTTTAATCGTTACCAAATTTAACATACGTGTAGAATACATGTCTATATACCTTCGTTCCAAGTTTCATGTATATAGTCTAATGCTAAGTACCTTTTATAGGCGATTGACCCGGGTCAACAAAATAAAATTAGCAGTTTTGGGCGGTTTTTAGTTAATAAAATAGGTAAATAAATTTTTATCGTTACCAAATGTCACATACGTGTAGAATACATGCGGACATACCTTCGTTCCAAGTTTCATGTATATAGTTTAATTCTAAGTACCTTTTATTGGCGATTGACCCGGGTCAACAAAATAAAATTAGCTATTTTGGGCGGTTTTTAGTTAATAAAATAGGTAAATAAATTTTTATCGTTACCAAATGTCACATACGTGTAGAATACATGTGGACATACCTTCGTTCCCAGTTTCATGTATATAGTTTAATTCTAAGTACCTTTTTTAGGCGATTGACCCGGGTCAACAAAATAAAATGAGCTATTTTGGGCGGTTTTTAGTTAATAAAATAGGTAAATGAATTTTTATCGTTACCAAATGTCACATACGTGTAGAATACATGTAGATATACCTTCTTTCCAAGTTTCATGTATATAGTTAAATTCTAAGTACCTTTTATTGGTGATTGACCCGGGTCAACAAAATAAAATTAGCTTTTTGCGGTGGTTTTTTGTTAATAAAGTAGGTAAATATTTTTTAATCGTTACCAAATTTAACATACGTGTAGAATACATGTGGATATACCTTCGTTCCAAGTTTCAAGTACATATCTACATTCCAAGTGTTTTTTTTTTTTCGAAATATATTGAATTTGTTGACCCGGGTCAACAAAATAGTCAGTCCCAACAGTTACAACTTGTATTAAAACTTATTTTTTAAACTGCCAAAAACTGATTGCTAAACATTAAAATTGTTGTAAAACAGTTACAACTTGTATTAAAAATTATTTTTTAAACTGCCAAAAACTGATTGCTAAACATTAAAATTGTCGTAAAACAGTTTACAACTTGTATTAAAACTGATTTTCTTAAACTTCAAAAAAGTCGTTGTAAAACAATTTTAAAATTGTTGTAAAACAGTTACAGCTCGTATTGAAACTTATTTTTTTCAACTCCAAAAAACTTATTGTTAAACAATTTTAAAATTGTTTCAATCTTATATCAAAATTGTTGTAATATGAAGTTTAAATCCAAATGTTTAAAAATTGTTATACAACAATTATTGTAATACAGCTTTCGACAACTTTAAACAATTTTTTTGCTTATTGGGTTATCGTTAGGGATAAAAATGCCTCACAAATTCATTATTGAATTCCTTATTTCTAGAAATCAATAAAAATAAATTGTATTGACACTATTCATATCACCCAAGTAGCAAGAAAACAGTTTGAACTGGTAATAAAACAGTTTTGAAACATGTTAAAGCATATAGGTACATGCTTGAAATGACACAAATGCCATTGAAAATCTTTTTCAAGTTAAATTATGAGGCCTAACACAGCTTCTCGCATTCAAAATGGCTATCATTACTCAATCCAACATGAAGTGCTCGTGGTGTAATGGCTAAGACGACTGGCTTCCATGCTGGAGTCCCCGGTTCAAATCTCGGGATCCCTCTGAACTTTTTGCCAAGAATTTTTTTACTTTTTAATTTTTATTTTATTTTTAGTGCATAGTTGATATTATTTAATGTTTTGAAACAAATTAAAAATGGTTTTTTAACAAGCTACAAATTATTTTCAAAAAAGCTAATGACTCGGATCCTATTTACTTGTATTGATATGTATTGATGTGTATTGATGTGTATTGGCCCAAATACACATACGTATCAATACGTATCAATATACAATTTTTGTATTGATATATATTGATCTCTTCCACTAGGGTAGGCCTATGTCTTTTGCAAGCCTAGTAGGTTTTGCCTCCCTTCCCTATTTTGATTACCTACCCTGGAATTTTCGGGTACAGTTTCTTAACTGGGCTATGCTATGTAATAACGATTGAAACTATAAATTAGATGAGAAAGTCAAACGGTTAAACCTTCATTAAATTTTTTCACTACCTATCAGCAAGTTTAGTTAGTTGGGTTAGGATGAGAGAGAGAGAGAGAGAGAGAGATTCTTTATTTTGCAATCGTCAAGATTGAAAATGGAGTCGTATGAAATACACAGTTTAAACATTTTTGATGTGATCTTGCTTCACAAAATATTGTTTTTCCAGTCTTTTATTCTTTAACACTATAGGCTAAATACCCCCGCTGCAGCAAACCTGCAGACTAAGCGAATTTCCATTTGACTGATTGGATTTACACTGAAATGTCTACTTAAAAATATAACATTTATTCTTGATTTAAATAGAATTAGTTTAACAAGTACTTAGGTTTGCTGCATCAGGGAGGGTAAAACTGTTTTTTTTTTATAAAATGTGAATAGTTAGTAAGAAATAAAAACATTTTCCAAATTTGATCAAAATATGTTCACAAACAAGCAAACTACAACAGTTTACTTATTCTCCATAAGAATAACATGGGAATTTTAAATTTACAATTTTTTTGAATTTTCTCCGTAACCATTAGGGGCATAGTAACGCTTCAATATACTAAATTATTTGTTTTTTTAAGCTCTACAAAATGGTTTGGAAAGAAATTGCTAAATCTTATGTTTTTTTGGGTCAAAAATGGGAAAAACCTATTTTTACCCCATAAAACCCCTCGTAAACCCCCGTTCCCATGGTCCGATCATGCTGGATCGCGAACTCGTTCGAATAAACGTACTTTTACACGTTTGTACCAAATTTCATCAAAATCGGATCATTTTTGCTCGAGTTATCGTGCTGACGGACACATATATATATATATATATATATATATAAATATATAAATATATAAATATATATATATATATATATGAATTTGAACGGATGGTGTTTTTGGCCTCTAGGGACCTCAAATCGAAAAAAAAAATCGGTCCCGCGTCCAGGTCTTACCATGAGTACTACGGTAATAGCTTATTCCCTATATGGGAAATTCGCTAAAAGGGCGGAGTAGCAGCCATTTCAGCAACTCCCTCTTGAACCTGCCAGGGTCAGGACTTAGGCTTTTCATTTCTTCTGGTAAAGCATTACAGAGTCTTGCGCCGGGGGCGTAAGTTGGTTTCCCCTGAAATCTTGTGGAGTGATTAATTGGGAGGTTGAAGTCCTTGGCATTTCTAATGTTATGGGTATGGACATCTACATTACGTTGTAGACTCATTGAGGTGGCAGTGCAGATGACCTCCAAAATATACAGATTTACAACGGTTAACATTTCCAGGTCTCTAAAGGCACCTCTGCAGTTCTCCCTCCCATCAATTCCAGCAAGCAGTCGAATACAGTAGCCTTCTCTTGTATTACAAGAACATGCTGTAGGTTGTTGTGTGACGTGGCGCCCCAGGGTACGATTCCATATCGTAGATGGCTCTCAAATATAGAACTGTAGGTGGTCTTGACTGCTTCAAAGTTGCTGATTCTTTTTACTCTTCGAAGAGCGAACTATTTAGCTGGTTATCCGTCCAGGTGATCTCTCTCCATGTCAGTGCCTTGTCTATTATTAGGCCTACCCCTAAATGTTTGGTAGCTTCAACACAATCAAGATTGGGGAAGGCCGACACCTCATCCTGCAATGTTCCCACATTGAGCTGTTGTGTCTTTGATTTGTTGTAAACCAGGTCGTTCATGTTGCAAAACTCAATAGCCATGTTTCTAGAGCAATATAAGATTTGATTTCTAATGCTTCTTTGTCTTTGTCGGATGTGATGATAACCGTGTTGTCAGCATACATATGATCGAGTTGCAGAAGGGCCTAGTGTATGCAGGGAAGTCAGCTGTAAATAGGACAAATAACACAGGACCCAAGGACAGTTTAATTTTATAAGTCATATAACTTAGCCTAGTTAAAATATTGATTATTAAATGATATCTTCTATCGATATTAGCATAGCCTGGTTAAGAAAATGTACCCGAATTTTCAGCCTAAGGAGTAAAGACAATCATTAAGTTATTCCCCTTTTCCCTGTTTGTTGGACTTGAGTTAAATTATGTTATGGACCTCAGTTATTATTACGGTTTTTTAACTGTATTTTTTCTTATTTTATACAGTATGGGAGAAGTAGTAATTGAACTATATTGGAGACATGCTCCGAACACATGCAGAAATTTTGCTGAACTCTGTCGTCGAGGATATTACAATGGAACCAAGTTCCACAGAGTAATTCGAGACTTCATGATTCAAGGTAAGTCCAACAAAATCTTTCATTACTGTGGTCATTATGAATAAATACATTACCGGTATTGTTTGAATAATGCTAGATCGTGATGGAAAATGTCCACAATAAACCTTTTCCTTCAGTTACCTAACAATGTACATGTTATCTCACTGATTTGAGAAGCAAAGTGGTCAATTCGCTCATCAGTGAGACAATGTTAACATTGTCTCACTGTAATTACGTTGTCTCACTCACTTCAGATTTGCAACGTGAAGGTACGAAATAGTGAGCGCGAATCATTCAGACAAGTTTATCTAGTATATTCTCCACCCAGCCTACAGCCTTCTTTTTACTTTTAAACTTTTAAATTTTTACCTGTTATTGTCTGTGATATTAGCTTATTAATCTAGCCTGACTGGGTTACTGTGTAACCCTATTTTACCATAATATGTGACTATGTCTATTGCAAGATTGTTTTGCTTAAGGACAATAAAGGATTTCTGATTTCTGATTTCTGAAGGCCGTATGCGCGCGAAATACGATGGCAGCACTGGCTGTAAATCAGCTGGTCAGCTGTTGTTCTGTTGTATCATGTCATATTAAAAGTTCACTTCCGTGTAAAAATATGTCACGTTTCTTTACCAATTTTTTTTTTATGGTAATTGTAGGAAAAATATCATGTTCAACTGTAGTGCAAAGTGCAATTGCCTCACTCGAGAAAACATTCCTCACTCGCCTACGGCTCGTGAATAAGTATTTCTCTCGAGTGAGTCAATTGCTCCCTTTGCTCACTAGTTGCACAAATAACTATTGAACAACAAATACATTATTGTTAAATAGACCATTTGAAACCACGTAGGTTGTTTTTAAAAGCATCACTGTGACAACCATGGGCGAGGAAAAGAAAATTAGGCCTATATTATTAAAGACAACACGTGGAGAGATTGATGCAAACACCGGTAATTAACTTATAGGATTATAATTATAAAATTAGTTTCCAATGTTTTAAATAGGCTAAGTTAGGCCTAAGCTTACTAGGTAACATTTTGTCAAACAAGAAAATGTTTAATATTAGCCTACACAACTACGGTAGGGATGTCCCAAACAAAAATAGGCTAACTTAACTTCCTGGTTTCCTAATATAGTACCCTAAATTATGATGACCACAGGGAGGGAAAGATAGTTCATATCATTGACATGATCCCGACCACTAACTTAATTCCCCTATCTCACCCCAACGCTCTCCTAACCTGACTCCCCAGTCCCCATGCTCCTCGTTTTGGTGGTCACCCACATAGCACGGAATGCTGACCTTTTGTAAGCAGAACAATCAGGTTACACATTCCATGCCCACGACCAAACCATCGAACGGAAGTCAGCAATGCGAATACTTTGTGACACAAATTATATTCTTGTTGAATTGCAAAATAATGCAGACCAATGAAGTTGCATCTCGATTCTGTGCCTCTTGCTCAGTTCTGCCAATAGCAGTAGCTATTATACAGCAACTCTGTTCTGATAGTATCCAGGGTAAAATTCATCCTGAATGAATCACAGACCATCACAACACCAGCAAACAAAGACATATTCCGTAGAATGTTTCTGAACCTACGGCAAGGGAACTTTACTTACAAGTAAAATCAACACAAATCATCCAGGCTAACTCATTGTATCCCAACTGAATATTGTTGTCCTCAATAGGGTCATTGATCAGTACCAGAACATGGGTAATAACCACAGAAAACGTACTACTATAACCCAGAATGCCAACCGCATGGTAAAAATCATTAAGCATTTTGAGAGAGCTTTGCCTGTCAATCCGTAGGCAGCGCCACCAGCGTTGCTATGCTGAGTGCATGGCAACGCTGGTGGCGCTGCCTACGGATTGACAGGCAAAGCTCTCTCAAAACGCTTAATGCTTTTTACCATGCGGTTGGCATTCTGGGTTATAGTAGTACGTTTTCTGTGGTAATAACTGAGTCCATACATCATAATCAAAGTTATTCTAATACTTTCAGAATTAAGTAGGCCTAGGCCTCATAATAATTTTAGCTAGGCAACAACGGCTCATTTCTACTTGACATCTTATATTTGACATGTAATTTAGTTAGGCCTACCTAAATTTATCTCGGTAATAAAACATTATTTGGTGTTTTTGGAGTAGGCTATTAAAAATAGGCTAAATATTCCAATTGAAAAATATTCAAGTTTAAGTTCATTTATGTTTTCAAAGAAATCTTTATTTAAGATATTTTTTTTATATGTCACTATAAAAAAGGAATATGTTTAAGGTGGAGACCCGACTGGGACTGGCAAAGGTGGTTCTTCCATCTATGGTCGGACGTTTTCAGATGAAATACACGAAGACCTTAAACACACGGGTGAGTAACAGGGTAATTTAGTTAGGCTTGCTTTTAAATACCGTTTGATGTTACCTGCTAACCGTGTTGATGGCTATATTTATTTTAAAACGCTAGTAAAACCCAATCAACATTATAGTAATGTTACGTCATGTTGAGTTAATTGAGCTAATGTTAAGCACATAACATATGTCAAATAACACTTATAATGATATTTACACTTATACTGTTTACTCACAAGACGGTAAATACATATTTATGATAGGCCTAAGTGGTGATCGATATCGATTGGACACGATTCTCCTATTGGGTATAATGAGGATTGGACTGTCCAATCAAAATAAATCACCACTTACCATCTTTTATAGGTCTATGTATTTACCATCTTGCGAGTAAACAGTATAGGCCCTAAGTGTAAATATATTATTATAAGTTTATGTTACGTATATATTATGTGCTTTCAGGTAATTTAGTAAGGCGTACGATGCTGATCAAGAAGTTAGTTAGGCCTTATGTTGATGGAAAATTAAAATTTTTTCCATTAACCATACCAATTCAAATGGAAATCACTTCAACATAATAAGCATTGAAAGTAGTGCCTATATGTAGTATTTAAGTTATGTAGCCCAAGTGTATTAATCAATGCACATTCATACTCCTCTTACTAGGTAAAAAACCTCTTTTAACTGCCTTGTAAGTTTTCATTTCAATATAGTTGAGTTGTCTGGCCATTTTTTATTGTAGTCTTCCAGCTCTTTCGACATTTTTTGTTTGAAGTTCATTTTAATTTTTGGTGATGGTGGGTACATGCATCATCTAAAAGATAATTGCGGACATTTTCCATCCCGGTTATTTAAGAAGAAAATTTTCAATGGTTACAGTTGTAATGGAAAATGTACGTAAATAATCTGTTGGCTAATACCTTTCAACACTGTTTGCTTTTTCACCTCTGGCCTTTATGAAGACCTTGGCCTTAATTGATGCTCTTATTAAAAAGTTTTACTTCCAGGAGCTGGTATAATATCCATGGCTAACTCGGGTCCTGACACTAACGGATCACAGTTTTTCATAACTCTCGCTCCTACTCAATGGCTCGATGGAAAACATGCCATATTTGGTAAGATCAAACATTAATTATCTATCATTTTATTTGTGTTAGATAACAATATGTTTTACTACCACTGCATGGAAATGATTACATTGCCATACTTGTAAACAGTATTAGGCCTATATGCTAAATAGCTTATTTCTGCTTCATTAATTCCCGCTCACTAAATCAGCTGATTTCACTGTTGGAGAACATCCACAAATATTAGAACAAAAACTGTATGGATCATAAAAATAAACAAAGGGCGTTTCAACTAGCCTGAATCTTTACTAAAAACAAAAACATTAACATATGGATACTGTTAAATTAAATTATGTTTACTTTTGGGCCGGTGACATAATTTGTTTATATGTTTATGACCCATTGATCCATACCTTTTCTGTTCTAAGATATTTTTGCTAACATCCCAGCTTTTCACAGAATGTGCTAGTGTCTCAAATTCTATTTTTTACCTAATTTTTTGTTGCGGACATATTTGATGGGTCATAACAGATGCTATAGCTTCCAATAAGTCATTACATCAGTTGGGCTTGGTAAAATAAAAAGTCGTGTATTCTACAGAAATTAGTACTGTAATTTAGATCAGCACACCTGGCAGTGGCTAACATTAACTACACCGATTTTGAGAAAAAAACTGGCAACAACTTAAACTTTGGGGATGGAATGTCTAGTTGTAGGCCTACCAATAGCCAAAGGATATTTTAGTCAGTTATGGTGGCAGGAAAAAATCTTGTGTGTATTACCGTACGACTTACGAGCACAGTCATTGCCGCTCTCGAAATGTACGGCCACACTCAGCCAAAGCAACTATATGTTCTAGAGGCAATGACATACTTTGCAGTGGCTAACATTAACTACAACGGTTTTGAGGGAAAAGAAACTGGCGACAACTTTAACATAAGGATGAAATGTCGCCATCCTATTGTTAGAAGAGCATGAACACTTTTTTATTACCGGTACTTGATATGCAAGCTCTCATATTTTCGTTCCTATGTGTTATTGATTCATACCCTATTTCAATTGTCTGCATACTGGTCCGTTTTCCTGTCTATCAACTGAAGGACATAAGATTGTGTTTGTTTACAGGTAGAGTTCATTCCGGAATGAGTGTTGTGAAGAGAATCGGATTAGTAGAAACTGACAAAAACGATCGACCCACAGATGATGTTAAGATTGTGCGTGCGTACATTCGATCAAACTAAAAGACTTCACTATTTTTACTATAGGCCTAGTTAATATGACAATTGGCATTTTGTACTTTTTATCTGTAAATACATTTTATTCAAATGATGAAACTGTGTGATTTTATTTGAAACGTGAGAAAATATTTTCTAAGCTCAAACAAGTTGTAATCTGTTGCTGTTGTTAATGAAAATTTTATATATAAACATAAGAGATAATACGCCATAAAAACAATCTGGAAAATAACTAATTTTAAGGATTGGTGACATACTTTTAATACTAGTACAGTTAAAATTAATAGGTATAAAAACATTTTTCAAGTCTTTTTAAAGTAATGCATGTGGTCTGTGTTGGATTCCATTTGTTAGTCAGGCCAGTAACATGGTGTTGTTAACGAGTTTGCTGATAGAATTGAGTGTCCTGCGCTGTACGTACAGCACACTCCTCCCACCAATCCGATGATAATTAGCACCCACATGTAACCACGTTCGTACCAAGGTATTAACCTGAAACAGATGTTTCAATAAATCATTGTAGTTTGATGTTTGGAATACAATGTGGAAACATATATTTTCAATTTTGTCATGTACAGCATCTTATATGTCAACACCATAGGCTAATAAATTCATATTTACTAAAAGTTTTTAAATTTTAATTTGTATAAATGTTGGTAAAAGTAGATAATACAGTGTAACAACAATGACTACACATAGAAAAACACAACGATGAAATAAAAAATTAAAAAGGGATGAAATTATTACTTGTTATTTTGTTAATAATCAGGACAATTTAATTGTCTTGTCCAAAATCATAAGTCGACTTTAAAGCTATAAGTAAAGTTTATGTTCTCAACTACGCTGATTCTTTTTTGCTATAGAAAGAAAATAAGGCACTTTAGACGTGCGCCGTATAGGCATATAAATTAAAAACAGACATTTTTTGCGGCTTCAAACACACCTTTCAGGCCAATCAGCTCTCTTCTGATCGCAGAGCCTCATGTAGAAGTAGGGAGGCAGTATGAAGGTGCACAGAGTGATGCTAGATCCTCCAACCAGTGCCAAGATCTTACCAAACTCTGGTATAGTTTCCCCCACCACTATCATCAGCAACACCATCAAAGATCGGACTAAGCACCGCTTGCCACCAAACTCTGCAATAGTCATCAGTAATAGAGCTTAGAGCTTTAAAAGAATGAATGAAATTTTGTTCTTGTCACCACCAAATAAGAAAATTTAATACAGTAGGACCTCAATATCTTGAAACTGAAAGGAAACGAATACAAATTTGAGTTATTGAGTTTTTTTTTTTTAGTAAGCGAGGTTAAATCATATCAGATGTCAGGGTGTTATATCAAAATTCCATATACTGAGGTGTTGTACTTTGACAATGCTATTACCTCACGACCTTCATAACCTAACCACTAATATCTCGAGCTCAAGCTAATAGAGGCCTATTGAAGGAATACTGTAGAAGTACAATAACACTATTGAATGTGATTTAAATTGTAATTTAGGACAAACGCCAGTGTATTTTTTGTAGCCTATATTATACAATAAAATAATCAAATGAAATAAAATCATGTATAAAATTAATTTAGTACAATTGGCTCTGAATGATCCAACACTCTTACAGCGTTCGTGAGAGGCTTTTCAAGAATGATTTCAAGGCTATTGTAACAGAGTGAAAAGCAGTTGCCAAATTCTAAATAACAAGACTGAAAATCCTACTTACTGTGTGGGACATTAAAGATCTCCTCGATCTCCTGGCAGACTGGGTTGATGACAATGAGAAGTGCCAGGATGAGGTGAAGTGCCATCAGCATGTTGGCAAAGGAAGCAAACATTCCTCGACTGAGAGATAATACTACGTTAGCGTTAACAGCGTCTCCGTAGACAAAGAATGCCGCAAACACTACGGGCATGTAGAGTGCCAACACAACTGCAACATATTCATCAGCTTGTGAATAGGTTCGATTAGATTTGTGACGGTGAAACATCGGGGTTCTCCAACCTTTTTTCCTCAAGGAACACAATGTTAACTTTTGGAGGAAAGACGGGCCAGCAATATTTCGGTGCAGTAAATTAAGCTCGCCTAACAAAAAAAAAATAATAAAAAATCTGTCTATTCACGAGTTGGTTGTGGTTTTTGAGATTTTACTTATTTTTGTTGCTATGAGCGACTGTCGCACCTGCTGCTCCAAGCACTTCTCTATACATTACGTTCGGGTTGACTAAATAAAATTGTTTACTTGGATGCATAAAAAACTAAAAAGCTGTATAAAAACAAAACAATACAAATGTTATACGTATATTTTTTAATGACTGCATAATGTAAATGTATTTGTCATGCTTAATCATCATTCATTCCATAAAAGGAATAAGACATTTCTTCTTTTATAATTGTCCTTGAAAAACACCAAACTGCTGCCAAAAGAGCATCTAATCTCTGAACAAAATACCATATTTCTACATTCCAACCATGTTTTGCACAAACACTATCCTACAAAAAATAACCAAAAAATTTATCTAACAAATTTGACTCACCAACATACCCCATAGCGACGCTGATGTAGAACTTGTCTCGGCGTGCCATGTCATTTTGTATGGTGGGGAAGGTAGAAGCACCACCGTAAGTAAACAAGATGGTGCCAAAGGAGAAGAAGAAGTCTGTGAGACTGTGAGGATTGTGCGGAACTGGCTCCGTGTTGTGTATTCCGTCTGAGATCATGTTGATGAAAATGAGGACACAAGCTATAGCTGTAGTCAGGACAGCTCCGACACCAGCGATCCTGTAAAATATTTATGCTTCAAAGACACTTGAAATAAAGGACTGTTGTCCTTGAGCATGCCCTTTATTATTTGGGGGGCATTGAAATGGTACTGGCAAAAAAATTACTACTAACGAATTTACTACTAAAGACCAATTATTGGTCTATGTAACAAAGCTACGAAGCATTTCACTCCATTCTATTGTACTCATATTTGGTTTAAAATACGTCCATCTAAAATAAAAAGTGTTCCAGAGAGTTAAAAAGCACACTACATGTTCCCAATACAATTAACTTACTATTCCGCCCGCACCAACAAGGACTTCTTCAAAAGAATGAGGTAGAATATCAGTTTAAAATAAACAAGTTCTATATGCAGTGAACTTTGACTATTGTGTAGTGAAGTGTGATTTCAACTGCATCTATTTTCTTGTGCAAGTAAGTTGTGAAGTGCCCATTGCTTTTTCCTCCAAACCAATCGTAATCAAAACATTATTTACAATTTACAGCTATTAACTAGAATATCAATGGCACTATTGACACCCATGTATGAAAGAGAACCTCACCAGAAATCCTTTGGTGATCCCAGCCACATTGGTGGTGTGATGACAATCGCAAAGATGAGGAACCAGAGGCAATATCCCACCTGAGGCAACAACTCTCTCAGCAGCTGTTGTACTATCTGGGCGGACAGCAGCAGGTAGACAATGGCCACTCCAAATAGTGTGACTTGGATACAGGCTGACACTAGTGTGCTGGTAGCAGTGAGAGAAGAATACAGCTATTAATCATTTTGTACCATGGCTAAAAGTACCTCTGACATATATTTCATTTAGCAAAACTTTTATAGAACCTAAAGGTTGCATTTTAAAGATAACTAGTTGGTTCAGAAGATTTTGTGACAGACTTGAGAAGTAAGCATAGTTACCGGGTATTGCATAAACAATAGCCGTGCAACATAACATAATAGTGATATTTCTTCCCAGTATATCAGTGAGTATAGATTGATAAGAATTACTTATCTCACCAATCTCCCATCTCTGTAGAAGAACAATACTAAGACAAAACATCAGTTTTATTGTGTGACCATTGTCTGTGATTTTAAGTCCTTGGACAATTTTCTCAGAAAACTGAAGTTGTAGGCAATCCTATAAAACTCCTTTTAAACCCTAAATGTTTTGACCACATTCTCGAGCATTTGTTGCTAACTTAAGTTATAATGACACTGGTGTAGACACATTAAATGTATTCTAATTTAATTTACACTTGTTATATTTACTTGAGGTAAAGTCAAATGTTTGGTAGAGTTTATCTTCAGAGGCAGTGCAATCTTAAATGAGTAGGTATCTCATCTCAAAACCAGTTGCCTGAAAGTCTGTAAACTCACTTAGTACATAGGGTTACATAGGCAATCAACTGACCTGCCCCACCGGCCTACAGCTCTGAAGGCTATTGTCGGGTAAGGGTCTCTCGTAGCCTTCTTGTGTTCAGGATATCTCTCCTCCAGAATGGCCCAGCAGTTACCCAGCTTTGTTCCTCCATAGCAAGCATTGAGACAAAACAGCAGCACCAGCAGAAGACCGGGCCAGCCTGCCAAACGTGCATACGGAGTAGTAATATGAAAAGTTTTACAAATTCTTGAACACTTAAGCTTGATCTTCAAGGTCCACCCATGTCAAGATATAAACTTTTAACAAATTAAAACATGCAAGATATAAAGTGCAATAATTGTACATTGTAATTGTATAATTGTAATTGTAATAAAATTATTGTATTTAATAGTGTTCCTGAATAATAATGTGTCATTATATTCTCAATAATAAGATAACTAAAATTAATTAAATTATTAGAGATAGCTAGAATTTTGAAAAAAAGATGGCAGGGAAGTGTAAATCTTGGTAAATAAATACCTAGTTATAATGATCCACAGATTCTCTTCAGCAAATTTCAACAGCCCCAAAAGTCATTATGGTCAAATTACAATAATTTTTTATCAGAGATTATTGATTGTATTAGAAGAACCACATTGCACATGATTATACGGTATCTTTAGGCAAAAAAACTAGCGATTGGGTTTCAAGTAGTTATTACTTGACTTGGTATTGAAAATAGTGAGTAACTTGCACTGCATAATTTATGTTTTACAACTTCCCAGGTCCAATGTATTATTGACAGAGCAAAAATTGTAATGTTATACTACATCTATATGAATATAGTTAAAGTTAACTGAAATTTAGGTAAAAAAAACGTGTCTGCTACTTTTGTATTAATTACTATTATTTAAAACATCTTTTTGTAACAGCCTAGTATTTTTTTTTATTCAACATTCATACCACAGTCAATAACTGCTTTAGGCAGAGCGAGTATCCCACTTCCTGCCATTTCTCCTGCGACTAACACTGCAGCTCCCAGGACCGACAGTCCTTCTGCTGAACCATTCTTCTTCTCATCTTGGCCATATGCCTCCTAGAATTAGAAAGGATAGCTTTTCATCTCAATTCCTTTATGAGGAATATTTATATTAAAGAACATTTTTGATGTTATAGGTTAAGGTGTTTTTTTTACATGAAAAGCTCATGGATTTTAAAAGAGAAAAGGCTAGAATACAACCAAGGAAATATTTTTATGTCTCCATTCAGTTCCTGAAACAGTGAAGCAAGCTAGATCAAATCTGATTGTCACTGTTTCTTTATTACTTTATCCTATACTATTCCAGATAGTTCTCCCTTTAGCGACCATTAGCCTCATCATAGATGCCGTAAATAATGTGAAGGAAAATCAATGCTCCTGCAAGAGCCTAAAAAGTTAAGTTATGTCGCTTGTGTACAACGTTTAAAAAATCTAATTGATGAATTGATAATTATTGTTGTGTTGTAACAAGGATCATGCGTTCATTCATTCACTATTTTGCAATAAATTATAAAAAGCAATTTTCGAGATGGGCTTTATGGTTATAAACTGATTTGATTTCACTCTTTGCTATGATGGCACTTTCAAGCAATCATAAAGCTGGGTTTTCCTAGGCGCAGAGAGCGGAGAGAGGAACACGGAGAACGGAAAAGAGATTGACATGGTGTTGTTCCGCTCTGCTTCTAGGAAAACAGTAACATTAAATTACCTAAGACAAGTGGTGTCCGCTCTCTGCGTTCCTCTCTCCGCTCTCCACTTCCGCGCCTAGGAAAACCCGGCTTAAATGAACACACATACACACATTCTTAAATGAAAAAAGTTATATTGATCCAAAAAATAAGTTAATACAAACTTTGAACAAAAATATTGTATGACTCATTAATACAGTACTACATTTTTTAACTGAAAATTTGAAAGGACAGATTTGGTAAATTAAAATTAAATTCATCATCTTACAAAAGTTAACAATAAGGTTTCTATAGCCATTCAATCTTGCCTTTTTTGGATTAAGGTATTTTTTAAATCTGTCCATAACAAGTTTGTATAAAAAGAACTACTTACTATACTTTTTGAAGAGTTGGTGTGGTAACCATTTTGAGATTTCTGTGGTGGTTTTTCCATTTTACCCTATACAAGTTGGAAAAGACGAGATAAAAGTCACTAGTTGCACATCACTTGAATATCAGCCACTGAGATTGCACTGAAGCAGAGCATTACTTTATCTCAAGTCTTTCCTGGACACTTAACTTTATTTTGCATTTCGACACGTGACAACTGATAAAATCATACAATAAGACCAAACTAAAGCCACTTTTGCTGTAAACACTTCAGTTACAAACTCCTCTTAAAATCTAGGGCATGCTTATCCATATGAATTTAGCCACTTAAGATTATTCATGGAAGTAATTGGGAAACCAAAAATAAATCTTGACGTTACTAGATTTGTGTTAGGTTTTGAACTTGCTTTTTTACTTGTCAAGTGCAGTCTTATATTCATCTGCTAAAATAATTTTTAATTTTTGTTATAATGTTGAGAAAGTAGTAGCTAACGGAATATTATTATGTACATGACATCCCAGAACAACAGTCTTTCAAAATGTTATGATCCACTGGCATAATAACTCTTGTAAAAACTCTCCATCTAAAGCAAAATGTGTTTAAAGGGGTGAAAGTATGTTTTTTTTGTTCAACTTTTTTATATAATTAGTTTGGGTAAATTGTCCTGGAACTGGGATCGGTAAAGCCTTGCAAAATGAAACTGATGTAAAGTTCTATGGGATGTTTTGGCGGGAGTGTGGTGGGTCAATGTTTGATAGTGGTTTGATTTTTCAGAGTAATCTTTAGGGTTAGTGTCTTGGTTTGATGTTTGAGGTTGCTGCGAATAGTAGTGTAACATTGATCATTACTACACTTCCTGGTTTAATCCTAGTAAAGAACTAAATTAACCGTTAAAATTAAAATTCTATAAATAATCGGTAAATAAATGATCAGATATTGAAAAAATTTTATTAGGCTAAATATCACTTTACAATCAATTAACCTACCTACCAAGACTATTTTTATAAATCACTAAATTAATTAGTAAACAGTGTTAAAAATAACTAAAATAATATTAACACAACCCCTTAACCCTCTTAACACAACATTTACTTCAACCAAATATTTCACTTACTTAAATCTTAAAAAATGTCATAATAAACTTAATTTAGAATTACCATACTAGAGTTAGACCTACCTAGAAAATATACACTACGGTATTAAATAATATTTTGATTCAAACTAAATAACTTTCTCTTCTTGTTTGGAACAAGAATTTTCGGTTTGTTTGTCTCGACTTTGTTTTCTCCAACTTTCTCACCTGAATTCTCTTTCTCCTCTCCTCTGCCAGCTGTTTGATTCTGTGTGTATAGTTCACTTGCTGACACAAATTCAGATTTGTAATTATCCGAACTAGTCAGAGGACGCACCATGTTCGTAGTTTGTCTCGGAAGAACATTTTTGTAATGCGTAACAAGCGAGGCCGCTTGATAAGTGGCTGTTTGTTCTTGGAACCTAATATTTGGTTGGTAGCCCTGCATTGGCCTCTGAGGTTGGTATTGGCTTGCGTAGCTATTCCCGTACGGATTAGACGGATTGTTTGATTGCACCTGGCCGAATGTTGTTCTATTCAGCTCCGCCATCTTCCATATTTCAAGTTCCGATTGATGTTTTCTTTCTTGTTCAGCCAATTTCTGTAACGAAAGTAAACTTAAATAATTTTGCATCCAATGGGAATGTTAATTTTCTAAGGCTATATGTTCATATTTCTGAGTTGGTTGTTGCGATTATAATTCCTCTGACATTTTAAACCAATTTTGATGACATTTGTTGCTAACCCATCGGCGCTGACTTACGAGCGTTACTCGTATGGTTGCTGCAGGCCCGGCGGCTGAATTACGAGTGCCGCTAGTGTCGCTGCTACGCAGCGCCACTAGTTTTTTTAATTATTATATTTTCCCCCTTTTTTAGTTTCTTCTTACTTTTATGATGTTTATAAATATCTTGCTTCTTGTTTTGCTTGGTCACTCATTTATTTTTGCGAATAACAAACAAGGTTTTGTGTTGCCATAAAAACCAGATATCACCCAAAATCAGCTGTGAAAACAAACATTTTTTTCTATGTTATTCCTTATAAGTAAACAACTTGTGATTTTTCTATGTAGGGAATCAATTGAACTTTATAATAGGCCTAGTAGTGGAATTCGGTGTCTAGATTAATAATGAAATTTTAAAATCAAGTTTAGTTTAAAAAAATTTCTTTTGAATTTTTTTTTTGTAATCTTTATAATTTAATTTTTTAAATTTTACTCTTTGATTATCCAATTACCACTTTTTTTTAGATACATTTACTGTAAACAAAATGGCGAAACAGTTATTAATTTATTACCTAAGGTTTTGTTTCTATAACAAACAATTAATGAAAGAGTCTACAAATTAGGTAAAATTAATTGCCAACAGAGGGTTTTGCAGGCAGCGCATTATTTCCTTCTCCAAAGGGTTCATTTCAAGCCATTTCCCATTGTATATAACAAAAATATATATGTTAAAAAACTTAACAAATTGATTATAATTCCTACCCTGATTTAATAATTGTATTTATATTGTGGCAACATTTTTTACCCACTTTTAGGAAACTGTCAATAAACTAACTTAGATGTCCAACTTATTCTGAAGCAGAGTCTTAAGCATTTAAACAGATATTTAAAATAATCCTATTATCCTTTATTCTTGTGGGAAACAAAACTGTCACAATTTTTCAAAGAACTTGAAAATTGTTTGTCCACTTAAAAATATTCTATTTAGTTTATGATATACAAATATGTCAAAAATACATGGTATAAATGACAAACTTGATTCATAGCTTATAAACTGTTTTTGGCAAAAATGTATGTAAACAAAGTAAAACTAGGGCAAATGCAGGATTGAATTCAAATGATCTTAAAGGCTTTACAGCACAAGCCAGTTGAGATCTGACCCACTTCACCAAAGTTTCCCACAATACCTTGTGAAAGACATCAATATTTGCATCACACCAGGCTTTTATCGATCGTACTTCTTCTTCCTTCTCTTCAAGTCTTTTTTCCAACTGAAATGTAACAAAATGTTAACACAACTTATTGTTGACATAGGCATGATATAAAAATTGTATGGTGAAGTTATCACGTTCGCTACCACAATAGTACTATTTTTCATTCGACGCACATATGCGACGGCCGGTTTCTACTCATAGGCTGGTCACATTAAAATAGACTGACGTTGTATATTTGCTTTGGTGTTCCGATGTTATTAAAAAGCTTATCTTCGTAACAGTCTATTTGAAGGCCCTGAATTCCCTGCAGTGGTCTACAGGGATGTCTGTCGCACATGTGGGTCACTTGGTCTTTGGATATGATGATTATTGACTTATGATAGCTGGGAAAACTGTTTTTTTTTACTTTGTTGCATCACTGGCAACAAACCAGTAACCAGTAGTCTGCGTCCTGTAAACCAAGTGACACTCGGTCTATGTATAAAATTAAAATGTATACTTCGGTCCATGGCAATCACTACAGTGTCCTATATATGCGAACATGTTAAAGTAAATGAGATTAATAAATCGAGGGTTTAGTACAAAAACATTTATCCAAGGAAAAAATATACATGCTTTTATGAGGTTTGATTTGAGGTGAATAAATGCAGCAATGGAAATTTGAAATTTTTATATAGTCAAGTGATGGAATCACAGAGAGACTGGTAAAAACAAAGTCATTTCATAATTACAAATACATACTAGATAACTTGGCTGACTGAACATACAAAACTTTTTTGGATATAAGATTCTTAACACAACTAAGGAAATTTTCCTGGAAAAAAAAGTTTTAAGTGTGGTGATACAAAATTCAATGTGCATTTATTGTGCTTTGTTTTGTTAGTTTATGTCCATGTAAGTGTTTGCAAGACTTATGACAACCTCTTACAAGTGAAACATTTTAAGGTTTTCTGCTTGAAAATGACACCATAGTTGTTAATACTTTTTATGAAATGGGGACCATACAAAGTAGGTATTTTAAGCCAAGTATGAATGAAGATGTTGAAACCAGGTCATAAGACGAATTAAGGATTACTTGAACAATGAGCAAATATCCTCTTGATGATAGTTAAAGTTATAAGCTAAAATATTAATAAGACTTATTTGGCACACTGGAAAAACTGAGTAAAACTATACCACCACTGTGGGCAATATTTACATTACCTTGGGGAAAGCATCAGCATAACCTTTCAGTTCCTCCACTTGTTCTTGCAATGATGAGTTAGTACTACTTGTTTCTTCAAGTTTCTTTTCTAGCTGAAATATGAAATTATTTTAGTTATAGGTTCTTCAATTTGATGTTGGAGATGACTGTGGGTCATATGACCTGAAACGAGCAATGCTCTGAATACTGCACTGTGAAAAAAAACTGAAGACAGACAAGGTACATATTAACCTTTTATGTACTGAAAATTGGTCTGGATGGAATAGAAACCAATTAGCATATGTTACAAGACTGGAATCTTTTAAGCCCTAAGCATGTAAAATATTCAATCTGAAGTAGAGACGGTCCCAACCAGATAAAGAGATCTGAAGTAAAATTCATTGGTTGCAAAATGTCACCGTGAAGGACTAATATTGTACATTATACTTGTTAACACTCTACTTGATGCTAATCAGTATAAAAATCTGAGAGAAGATTAACATAAGTTATCTTTTTTCATATTAAGACATAAAACATCCAAAAGAAACACAGTAAAAAATATATCTCAAACTAAGCTATCCATTAATTCATATTCCTCATTTTACCATAATCAATAATCAACATACCTCTGAATTTAATGTCTTGATCTCGGAAATGGTGGCCAATAGTTCACATTTTTCTTGCTTAGCTGTAGAATAAAAACAATGTTAAACAGTTTTAAAGTTGGTCATAGTGAAAACATTCCACATCCATAATACACAGCATGTTGTGTAAGTAGACAGCCAAACTACGGGAAGTGGTTCTATAGGTAAAAATAAAGGGAAATTAAAATTTTTCTCATACAGCCTTATTTGACGAGGTGTCTGCCAATTAGATTTTCCATATAAACATTTTTATCTTTGAATTTTCCAAACGATCTTTAATTATGCAGCTTGATATATTTTAAAATAGAATAAACTTAGCCTATATTAAAAATAATTTAGTTGGTTCAATATGAAATTTAAAAACAGCGACCATTTAATTATTGTAAGTAGCTTAACTTCCAAAAAAAAACGTGCCAATTTTTTGGAAAAGAATTCAGGAAAAATTTTAGTTTGCATTTCAAGTTTCCAATAAACCACACCAAGTAAAAAAAATTGAATGACAAAAAGCTGAAATCTCACAATTTTTAGTAGTGCAATTAGGAAAAATAAGGCTAAACCCTATTTCAACCTAAGTTGAAGCGGACTACCTGTCCAGGTCACCACAATGATAATAAACAATCACACCTACAACCATTATCTCTAAAGATACAATTCTGGTTTTATTATGGCAAGGCCACTACTTGTAAGCAAAGCAAAATATATGTAGTTGTCCAGGAAACTGATCTTAATCTAGAAGGAAGGTAGTCTTCCACGCCGAGTTGTGTTGTATCTTGGTGCTCAGGAGATGATTGTGTTGAACTGGTAGACATGCTGGCCAAGTTGTTGAATGAGTTAAAGCAAAATACCTCCAGGACAACCTACAACTAATTTACAGAAACATCGTTCGGTATTATTATCAGTTAAACATGTCATCTCTCAAAGACTGAAGTTCAACCAATTATGCTTAGTGTTGTTGGTAGCATCGACTATCGTATTTTAGTCTACTAGAGTAAATATCCCATTTACCGGTGTAGGCCTATGAACCAGTTGAAGCCAATTTTTTACAAAAAAGGAATGCAGTTGAGTAAGCCAGTCACAGATTGTGCTGGTGTTTAAAGTTATATTTTCTACCTTATTTTTGTCACTTACATAAATGACGTGACATATAAGATGCTACGGCTTACAATAGGTCATTCTATCTATTTGACTTTGTTCAAAAGTCCTCACATATGACAGAAATTAGAAAATTACACCAGCGCACTCTGTCGGTGGTTTACTTACACTACCTACTTTCATTTTTATAAAAAACTGGTGACTATTTTAACATGGGGATGGAATGTCGTTAAAATGTTGGTCTTTGAATATGAGCATCGTCTTTTACCTAGACCTAGACAAGATTATGCTTCTTAACATAAAAGACCTTTTGAGATTCAAAATGTGCAATGCGATTCTTGGTTTCCTCACCACCAAGCTCAACACATTCAATGCGGTTGTGTGATGGCCGGCCACGACAATACAATCCAGTACAATCCAATACAATGGGCTATGTGGATGAGTGCGCAAAAACTTTTAAATTTAGTTTGCTTGCATATACTGCGTCCCAGTTGTTGTAGACATAGTTTTACAGAACCCAACAGATGACAGCACTAAACAATACTGCTAGCCGGCCCTCAGTATTGTCAAGTGGAGGGGAAAAGCAGGGGTGAATTACCCGGATACACCATAAAATATACCGTAAAAAGCGGTCAAGCACAATTTTGATGATAGGTTCCTTCCATAATGCTACAGTACATTCATTATCGTTATTCTATTGCATGTCTCTATAGATACAAGCCTAAACCTCACACTACAATAAATTTGTAACCGTCCCTACCACCGATAAAATAGTCCGATCAGAAAACGAATTACACCAGATAACACTGTATAACACTGGCACCAGCGAGCACATAATAATAATAATAATAGAGAGGACTCGGCGTTAAACCAAATGCACTGAAAGTGTGGCCAAATCCGCCATCTTGGTCCGTCATACAGCCTGAATTCAAGACCCGCGAGCTCAGTTCGCATTAAAAACCCCGCGACAAATACACGATCATAAACAACATTAATAGTTGACAAAAAATTCTGAAATTTTGCACACTTGTAGATATGATACTGAGGAAAACGATGGTGTTAATATAAAATTATTAGTTATGATAGTAATTGAGTTATAAATATGTTTAATACTTATGTAGTTTAATTTTTCAGATTCAGACATGAAAAAGTTGTATTGCGAGGAAATTTTTTATTTTTTGGTCAGAGAAGTTTCGTCAGCGGGAAAGTTGTGGATAAATAACCAAATTTAACTATCCGATTCACCAAAAATTTTTATCATGTTCGGTTTTCTAAAAAATCAGGTACAAAAGGGATCCATTGCCGCTGCTCCGCGCCACGCCCGCTGCGCCGCCGGGCCGTCGTCTATACATTTAGCGTGCAGTGTTTTAATGTTTTATACTGTTGTACTGTAATATTGTATCTAACAAAAAACCACTAAAGGCGGGGACACACTTGTCATACACCCTTCCGATCCTACTACGATCCGATTTGCGGGATTCCAGAAGGATCGGTGCGGGATCGGAGGGGGTGAACACACATGTCATACACGCTTCCGAACCGGCGACCCATCTCCGATTTCCTCCACCGGGTAGATCAACACTCGCCAGTCTGATTCGTAAACGTAAACTACGTGCAGAAGGTGATAAATACTGTATGTTCAAAAACTTTTGTATTCAGGATTTAGCCATGGTTTGTCTAGATGAAGAGGAAGAAAGTTAGACATCTCTGGAGGGCAGTGGAAAACGGAGAATTTGGGTCCATTCTGCATGGAAGGAAAGCATAAGTGCCCATTTTATATATTATAGGTTTTTCTCTCTCGAGTTCGTTTAGCTCTCTTACCCATCCGATTTTCATGATTGAGGTCTCGAATTGAAGGTATGCACGCACAGATTTCAAATCAACCATCGGCATATATTTATCTCAAACCATTGTTCCAATAAAGGTGATTTTAAAGAAATAACCCGTCCTGCATCCGACAAACGAATAGACTGCAGTGTCGGTGCGTGATCGGAGTCAAAATCGGAGTAGGATCGGAGTATGACATGACGCGTGTCGGAGAGGTGTGAACAACCGCGTTCAATGTTATGTACCATTCCCCTCTCCGACAGTCGTACCGCAGTATGATCGGAGTCGGATCGGAAGGGTGTATGACAAGTGTGTCCCCGCCTTAAGTGGTAACACTTTCCCCACCAAGTCAGCAATCCAAAAAAGATAATAAATCAATACTTTTCCGCCAAGAAAAACAATGTAATGTATGTAAGTTTGGCAACTTGGTGGCAGACTTTTGATGGGTTTTTTTATTAAAGTTACGTTCGTGGATAATTTCACAAATCAACTTCTCTAATTAATTAGTCCAACTAAGTGTAATAATTTCGAGGTAATCAGTAAATATAAAACCATCACTATTATGATTTTATGAAATGCGGCACAAATAAGGTCAAATTTTGTAAAATAAGCTCTCACCTAGCAATGTACTAATGGGAGAGATACTTGCTCAATGAAACTACAGTAGTTTTATGGTATTTTTTTAAAGTGATCGAGCAAAAGTCTGCTGCCAAGCTCCCAAACTTACATACATTACATTGTTTTTCTTGGCGGAAAAGTATTGATTTATTATCTTTTTTGGATTGCTGACTTGGCAGGGAAAGTGTTACCACTTAGTGGTTTTTTGTTAGATTTTATTTATTTTTGTAGAAAATTAACAATAAAAATCCTCTTTTCTCTGATATATAGACCACGGCACAACTACATCTCATTTAATTTCAATAATATTGTTTGTGTAGAACTAAATTCTAAATTTTTGGTCTTATCTGCTTTAAACCGATTAAAAACTTGTTGACACACGTACCAAAATTACTATTTAACAAACCCCCTGGGCTTAAACTCAGTTTCAAATTTCATTAATGGTCATCTTGAACAACATAAAATGCGTTGGTGTTACATAAGTGTTCTGATAATTAAACCCATATATCTAAAGACTAGTGTAAATTGAGCCCTTAGAAGTAAAAATGTAATCAAACAGATTAGGTTTGTTAGAAATAGCATAAGGCAAAACAAATATTGAAAAACTCATCTATCCTAAATTTACATATCACTTTTTAATTGCTTGTTTAACATATGTAGAGTGATTTTCCCGATTGTTTTATTTTTTTTTAGTGTATCAAACATAAAACAAACCTTAGTACTAGTACTAAGTTTCAAGTTCCTAGGTTTCATATGTTTTGATAAGTAGTATTAAACTGTAAAAAATGACGAGCTGCTGTACCAGTGTACCATCTGTACACTGCATTTTTCAATGGAAAGTATCGGGGAATATCACTACTCTAAGTAATTTTATATAGTAAGTAGTTCAAATCATTCGGTATACCTGAAAAAATACTTTATAAAAGTTTTAAAATAATTTTTCAGCTGTTCCTATGGATTTCTCTAACATTTAAATTAATTGAGATTTAATCGCAGCTGGTCCTTCTTTTGTTTTGATTTTAATCCCATGTTATTTAAATGGGCCAAAAGCGTACTTTGAAGGCTTGCCAAGGGTTTATAGGTCAATGCACCGACTTCAGACCCTCAAAAGGCACATCTACACGTTAAGGGCTTTCAAACAACATAAAAAACTTTAAAATTGAGCCAGTGGTTTGGGCTGTAGGTCCGTCAACATTCAAGGAGAAGAAGGAGAACACGGAAAATTTGCGAATTTTTAAACTAGTTTTTCTTGGCTCAAACACAACTGTTTTTTAAATTATTTTTTTTATTTTGTTGAGAATGAGTGCCCCTATCCAGTAGACGAATAACTATTTTAATAGCTTTTGTTTCTTCGGAGCTATAGACTAGTAAAAAAGCCACTTTGTCACGTCATGTATATATATACACTGCAGCAGCTGTGTACCGCTGGGGGACTTGGCGGGGCGGAACGCTGCCGCGTTCCTTAATATATTAAAGAAATTTTCAAATATATTGTCTATGTAGAATT